TTGAGGAGTATTAAGCATTTATTCAAAATAAAAGTCTCTATACACCACCGTTCAAAGGTTTGTTTTCAGTAAAAATTTTTCTTTCATTTTTTTACAAAATTAATACTTTTATTCAGCAAGGATGTGTTAAATTGATTTTAAAGTGTTTTAGTAAAGACTTATAAAGACTTGTAAAGAATATTGTTAGAAAATATTTTTATTTTGAATAAATGCTGTTCTTTATATATATACTGTATATATGCGCACACACACACACACACACACACATATATATATATATATATATATTCACGTAATAATTAAGAGCTGTGGTTTGAGAAAATACAATTATTATTACATTTACATTTGTGAGACGCTTTTTTCCAAAGCGACTTACAGTGCATTCAGGCTATAAAATTTTTTTTTAGCAGTATGTGTGTTCCCTGGGAATTGAACCCACAACCTTTTGCGCTGCTAACGCAATGCTCTACCACTGAACCACAGGAACACTACAATGTTTTGAAACCAGTATCAGGTGCATTAGCAATATGTGTGAATGGAACATAGATCATCGCTGAGATTGTGCAAATGAAGATTTATTGTCACTATGACAGTGAATGTTTTAATGCTTTTAAAATGATTGTTTTTCTATGAGATACTGATCAAAAGTAAGCAATAGGTGCCACTCAGATTTAATATCAGGTTTCCTAAGAAGCAGCAAACAGATGATTGGTATCTTGAGGGTTTGTAGTATTGGTGTGGCATATGCTGATGAATCGCACTCTGGTGGAATGAGGCATGCAGCCAAACTCTCTCCACAGGCTAGAAAAGAGCCAACGTTCAGCACCAGTGAAATGTCCTGTGATTGGGTATCAGTTAATGAATTATGGAAAGCGCTCGGAAACCACAGAATGTGTGGGCTCTTTAACCGAGATGTGGGCATTCGCTGTGCTCTTGTCAAACAACTCAATTTTTCATAGACCAAATGTTCATTTGTGTGCTTTTACGCAGTCACAGTGTAGAGGAATATTCTTGCTCAAGCTCAATCGACAGCACTTGTGGCATAATGCTGATATTATAATATTTTGACCTGTCCATCCATCTGGGTTACAGTGAGCTGCCATTCAAAAGTTTGGGATCAGTAAGATTTTTAATGGAGTTTCTTATGCTCATCAAGGCTGTGTTTATTTGATCAAAAATACAGAAAAAAACTGTAATATTGTGAAATATTTTTGCAATTTAAAACAATGGTTTGCTATTTTAATATACTTTTAAAATATAATTTATTCTTGTGATGCAAAGCTGAATTTTCAGCAACTATTACTCCAGTCTTCAGTGTCACATGATCCTTCAGAAATCATTCTAATATGCTGATTTATTATCAATGTTGGAAACAGTTGTGCTGCTTAATTATTGTTTTTTTTATTTTATTTTATTTTTTATTTTTTTATTTTTTTGGAACTTGTGAGGCTTTTTTCAGGATTCTTTGAGGAGTATTAAGCATTTATTCAAAATAAAAGTCTCTATACACCACCGTTCAAAGGTTTGTTTTCAGTACAAATTTTTCTTTCATTTTTTTACAAAATTAATACTTTTATTCAGCAAGGATGTGTTAAATTGATTTTAAAGTGTTTTAGTAAAGACTTATAAAGACTTGTAAAGAATATTGTTAGAAAATATTTTTATTTTGAATAAATGCTGTTCTTTATATATATACTGTATATATGCGCGCACACACACACACACACACACATATATATATATATATATATATATTCACTCACGTAATAATTAAGAGCTGTGGTTTGAGAAAATACAATTATTATTACATTTACATTTGTGAGACGCTTTTTTCCAAAGCGACTTACAGTGCATTCAGGCTATAAAATTTTTTTTTAGCAGTATGTGTGTTCCCTGGGAATTGAACCCACAACCTTTTGCGCTGCTAACGCAATGCTCTACCACTGAACCACAGGAACACTACAATGTTTTGAAACCAGTATCAGGTGCATTAGCAATATGTGTGAATGGAACATAGATCATCGCTGAGATTGTGCAAATGAAGATTTATTGTCACTATGACAGTGAATGTTTTAATGCTTTTAAAATGATTGTTTTTCTATGAGATACTGATCAAAAGTAAGCAATAGGTGCCACTCAGATTTAATATCAGGTTTCTTAAGAAACAGTAAACAAGTGATTGGTATCTTGGGGTTTGTAGTATTGGTGTGGCATATGCTGATGAATCACCTAGGAATGCACTCTGCTGAAATGATGCATGCGGCCAAACTCCACAGGCAAGAAATGAGTCGACGTTCAGCACCAGTGAAATGTTCTGTGATTGGGTATCAGTTAATGAATTATGGAAGGCGCTCGGGAAACTACAGAATGTGTGGCTCTTTAACCGAGATGTGGGCATTCGCTCTGTTCTTGTCAAACATCTCCATTTTTCATAAACCAAATGTTAATTTGTGTGCTTTCTACACAGTTACAGTGTAGAGGAATATTCTTGGTTCAATATAAGTTAAGCTCAATCGATAGCACTTGTGGCATAATGCTGATAACCACAAAAGTTGTTTTGATCTGTCCCTCCATCTGGGTTACAGTGAGATGCATGCACTGAAAGTAAATGAGGTCAGTCCGTAAATGATAAAATACTAACTTTTTCAGGGGTATAGCCACAAAATGTAAATTATTTGCATGTTAACATGATTGTGGTGTGAAAAAAAACACTTAATAACTTTTCTGTGTAAAAAGTTTACACAGGTTTTAATAGAAAAAAGTGCTTTTACAAAATTATAAGCTTTACATTTCTGCTTTTAAATTCTCAACAACAAAAAAATTGGCCCCTTTCACTTACACTCTCTATAACCCTGATTTTTAGGAAGTTGAAATTAGTTTTCTATGGTAATCAGCATTAAGCCAGAGTTGCTGTCAATTGATCTCAACCTGTATTGAACCAGAAATATTCCTTTCCAGAATATTCCATGACTTCATTTCTTGGTCATCGAGGCAACGCTGATGAGAGTCTCATTGGTAAAAGCGCCCACCTGGACCTGCTGTGGCTCACCAGCACCTCTGGAGGGAATGAGTGAAGCAAAGGAAGAGAGGAAGAAAGTGAGGGAGGAAAATAAAATGAGAGGCAGAGTGGAAACGGCAGCCAGGAACACGTGCCAAAAAACCCTGGAGACAGAGCTCCGTCGCCAGATGTTATGTCGTTTGGCCTCGCGTCCCCCGGCAAAGAGAACCGAGCTGACGAACCATTTTTCACTGTCACGCTGTCAGTCCGTAAATGATAAAATACTAACTTTTTCAGGGGTATAGCCACAAAATGTAAATTATTTGCATGTTAACATGATTGTGGTGTGAAAAAAAACACTTAATAACTTTTCTGTGTAAAAAGTTTACACAGGTTTTAATAGAAAAAAGTGCTTTTACAAAATTATAAGCTTTACATTTCTGCTTTTAAATTCTCAACAACAAAAAAATTGGCCCCTTTCACTTACACTCTCTATAACCCTGATTTTTAGGAAGTTGAAATTAGTTTTCTATGGTAATCAGCATTAAGCCAGAGTTGCTGTCAATTGATCTCAACCTGTATTGAACCAGAAATATTCCTTTCCAGAATATTCCATGACTTCATTTCTTGGTCATCGAGGCAACGCTGATGAGAGTCTCATTGGTAAAAGCGCCCACCTGGACCTGCTGTGGCTCACCAGCACCTCTGGAGGGAATGAGTGAAGCAAAGGAAGAGAGGAAGAAAGTGAGGGAGGAAAATAAAATGAGAGGCAGAGTGGAAACGGCAGCCAGGAACACGTGCCAAAAAACCCTGGAGACAGAGCTCCGTCGCCAGATGTTATGTCGTTTGGCCTCGCGTCCCCCGGCAAAGAGAACCGAGCTGACGAACCATTTTTCACTGTCACGCTGTGAACAACGAACGAGAGCGCACAGGGAAATTAAGACACTCCACAATGCTTCCACACAGCAGATAGAAAACTGGGAGGTGGGGGTCATGAGTCTGTATATGCGACATCTACAGATCTTGGAAGAGGGAGGAAGAGACACCACCTGGTCGCTGACAGCTCGGTCAGATCGCATCAGGACCCCCACTGTGGGGCCGGGAGGTTTCCGGTCCAACATGTGGTCTCACCAGTGACAGCGAGAGATGGGATGGAAGAATCTACCTGCCAGCCAAGAAGAAGTGTGTCCTGCCTGTTTAACTGTTGTGCTGAGAGAGCAGAACCCTGTTGCAGCCTGTAGCTATTTTTTAACACCTGTCTGGGAGTAGCATTTACTGTAAGCAGTAAGAAAGGCTTCTTGAGACGCACTGTTTCGTCAGAGTTAGTGATGATAATCATCATGGAGTAGAAAATCAACACAGTGTGAATGCTCAATGCATAATTAACCACCGGTAGATTAGAGGTCTTTACAATGACAACATTTTTATTAATTATTAATGTTTTGAGTGCGTTTACATGCACAATGTTACATTTATATACCTTAAATAGTGTTATTTTATTGGGTATTCAATCAAATCCAAACAGAAACATAGCATGGTATTGTGAAATCTTTTTCTAACTAAGTGAAAGACACTTTCTTTCTTTCTTTCTTTTTCGCTTGTTGTTCGCTCGTGTCTGAAGGATACTTGAAAACATAAAGAAAAAATGTTAATTCCGAAAGTTTTGAAATTCTCTAATATATTAAAACGTATTATAAAATTGAAAATACATACATTAACATTTTCATAAAGAGTAAATACACCCGAAAATCAAGTGAGAGTACTAAAAATTCTCAGCCAATGGAATACCTTTTTTTTTTTTTTTTTTGAGGAAGAGGGATCTTAACGATATTGTTGACAGAATGTGTTTTGACGATAAAAACTGAGAAAAACCTTATAGTTTCAAATGTCATGCTTTTTTTGTGGTGTTATGTGGTTGTCAAGAATTAGTGACTGACACTCAGAGGTTTAAAATTAATAACAGCAGACTTTTCTTTAGCACGGTGCAATAATCTCATGTCACTTTACCTTTGAACTATAAATGTTACATCTCTCAAACTAGAACACCCCAAGAACCCTGGACAGTGAGCACATTATTTTTGGATCAGCACTTGTTCTTGTGATTCTCCACAGCCCCAAAATATTTGTGCAACTGCTTTTGTTTCCTCTTCGGGACACGAGGAACCTATTTAGAAGAATTTGCTTCTGCATTTAAAACTTAAAACTTATAACTGGGGCAAAGTCATATTGATGATCTTCACTTGCAGGACAAAGAACTGGCTTCAATAGGATTTTATGAGATTTTTGCCCTTGACTCTTTATGAAAAGCATCAATATCCTGAATACAAGGTTATGAATGCACTGATGTCACTGATAATATAATTGAAATCTGAAATACCTTTATCGGTTTAAAGTTGGCATACTGTCTGCAGTATTATGAGCGCTGCAGGAAGTGTTTTTAATGTTTTAAAGACACAGTTCACCCAAAAATGAAAATTCTGTCATCATTTAGTCAGTTCTTTATTTCTGTGAAACACATGGAAAGACAGTTTTAAAAAAAAGAATGCCTTTTTGGACTTCCATTGTATGGACAAAAACAGTTCTTCGGAATATCTAAAGCATAAGGGTTTAGAATGACATTAGGCCGAGTAAATGACGACAGAATTTTCATTTTTGGTTGAACTAGGCCTTAATGACTAAAAATCTTTAATTCATTACCTCCATCTCTGACACAGACAGAAAAAACTTCCCATTCCCTGCCCTACACAGGCATACCACCTTCTTTTATTCATGATGTACTCTTATCTGCACACCTGCAGGCTTCCAATGAACAAGTCACAGCTCACCAATCCTACATCATATCCTTTAACAAACATAAGTGCACAAATTACAGTACAGTCCCTCAAACTCATGCACAAGGAGCGTATTGTACCAAATCACAATTTCCACACATGCACCATCCACACTCACTCTATCCCGAACAGTCCCCATCCAGCTGTGTGGTATTCATGTCCCCAGTGAAGGGAGGGGGATCTCCATTGCCAACCTGTCCCATCAATCTCACCAAGCAACATCTGGAAACCAGCCACTGCGCAGACACTTACACTCACACGCATAAATTCACATACAATCAAGAGTATCTGTGTACGACACAATGTACATACATTTATAAATGACATTTATGAGGGACCCTTTAATCAAAGTCCTCTGTGGCAAGTGTGGTTAGTTTGTTCGTGTATAACACTCTGTAATTAGTCCATCTGTCTTCGGCTGGGAATGCAGCCTAAGTACTTCACTCGGACAAGGGCAAGTCCAGGTGCTGCCCACTTGTATGAAAGCGTCTGTGTAATCGTGCATGTGTGGATACATTTAATGATTTATTTGTTTCTTTGTCTTTGAATGTGTTAGCAAAGTGGTGGCTCTTTACATGAGCGTGTTTGATTTGCGTGTTTTTGATCGGCCTGCTGGACAAATTATTTGGATCACAGATAATTTTGATTAACCCAGCGACTGCTGCACAGGCCTCGGCCTCCATGAGGCTGATGATTCTTTCTCTTTATGGCGGAAAACTAGCAGCCAATCATTATCAATAGCTTTATATTTATTATGTCAGAGGATACCGAACACAAGATCTGTCTACTATACAGTACTGTACTCTATTGTCTCACTATTTATCTGTTAACCTGCAGGTAAGAGACATTTTCTTATAAAAGTAAGAAGTTTTTAGGTTGTGCCAGGAATAACTGCTGGCAATATTTCAGGCAATATCATGATGAAACTTCTTCATGATGAAGTTTCATTAGTGACACAAGTTTTGTCTTGGTCGGTCATTCTTACGAAATCCTTTCTATCACAATTGAGTGGTAAATGGTTAACTTACTGTACAGTATTTGTTTGCATATATATAACTTGGTCACAAAAATAATTCGCTCAAAATAGTCTATTAGGTAGGTAATGTGTCATATGATGACAATTTAATATTTGCTTGTTCAAAACATTGGTGACACTTTATAATAAATTGCAATTTGTTAACATTACGTAATGCATTAGATTTCATGAACTAACAGGATTTTAATTTACTTTTAGTTCCTTTATAAATTAAAAAAAAATTATAATTTGGTAATTTGTTTGTTCACACTACATTAATATTAATATATACAATATAATGTATAATTTATGCTTGAAATTCATGTGAAACATAATTCAAATGTTAAAAATGTTAAAAATTACAGTTGCAATAAAAATTATTCAACCCCTCAGAGACTGCGGTATTTTACAAATACAAGCTTTTCTGAACATCCAGGATTTTATAAAAATTACATCTATAACAGCTTACTGGCATATTAAAAGTGACAATGTCAATATATAATTTAATATTTTTGAGTTATAGGATTTTTTAATAACACAGCTATGTCATAATTATTAAACCCCTATTAAGTTGTTTTTTTTATGGTGGGGAACAAAATTGCCTTAAAACACAATTAAACCTTTAGAAATTCTATTTAATAAACAGAATTAGCTTGAGCTGTTACACGTGCATAAACTTAGCCCATGCATGTGCTGACGTGTGTAGCAAATATGCAAATTCAACAGAGCTCTCTCAAAAGCTATAGAAGAAATAGCTTTACTACATTAGAAAGTCTAAGGCTACATGAAGATTTCCAAGACATTAAAAGTTCCTAGAGATACAGCTGGCAGCCTTATTCCTTAGCAGAGGCGGACAGTAACTAAGTACATTTACTTGAGTATTGTAATATGTCTTTACAACTTTTACTTGTAATGGAGTAATATTTGACCAGTGGTATCTGTACTTTCACTCAAGTAATGGAGTTGAGTACTTTGTCCGCCTCTGTTCCTTAGCTTAAAATTAGTTGTACCAGAAAACCTTTGAGGGTGTTGAAGAAAAAGCACAATATCATAATAAATTTGATCAGAGCAACTGAGAAAAACCTGCAATGTACAGCCAAAGACTTGCAAGATGACCTGATGAAAGGAGGAAAAACATTTCAATGCAGAGTATAAGAAGAACACTAGACAACTATGGCCTTTGTGTTGAGGCATCTTGCCGAATGCCACTCTTGACCAAAACGAACATTAAAGGCCGACTTGAACATGTTAAAATTCATTTGGGTAGACCTGTGGAGTTCTGGAAGTATGTTTTATGGAGCGATGTGACCAAACTGGAATTTTTGGACCCAATGATCAGCGGTATGTCTGGTGCAAAAAAAAGGCAAAGCTTATAAACAGAAGAACACCATCTCCTTGGTCAAACTTGGGAGGCGGACCAGTCCTGTTATGGGGGTGTTTTACTGTTGCAGGAAGTGGAAATCATGACTGTATGAAGGACATTATGGATTCTTTGAAGTATCAGGTCATTTTGGCAAGAATTGTGATGCCTTTGGTGCAAAGACGGAAGCTGAGGATCAATGGACTTTCCTGCAGGACAGCCATCCCAAAGTATACATTCAAATATACTTCGGCTTGGTTCAGGGATCAGACATGGGATGTTCTTGAGTGGCCTGTTCAGTCTCCAGATTTAACTCTCATTGAAAATATTTCGTTGAATTTGAAGAAAGCCATGTCAATGTGAAAACCAAAGATTATCCATGATCTGAAAGCTTTTTCAGGTGAGGAATGAGCCAGGACTGCAGTAGAGAGGTGACAGACGCTTCTGAGCACTTATAGGCAGCGTTTATTGGTGGTTTTAAAACAATAAAAGATTCAGCACAAAATTTGACTAATTTTGAGCATGAATGTTTAGAGCCAATTTGATTTTTATCATGATCCATCAATGTTGCATTCTCAGAATCACGCAAATGTGTATTAGGAAATAGTCTCTAATAGTTCACTGATGCCTTTGTTGAATTGTTTTCGTTCTCTGCAGCAAAATGTCTTGCAGGTCAAGGGGGTTGAATAATTTTGATTGCAACTGTAACATAACCTAGATAAATACTTTATTGTTCATTGTTGTTCACTAATGCATTAATCGATAACACTTTAAACCATATATTAAAGTCTTACTGAAACATTTCAGTTAGAAATTTATTACAAATATAAAATATATGTAATAATGTTACAATTATAAAATTACTGTATTTGCTGTACTTTATTTTATAATATTTTTAGTGCCTGATGTATTAATAGGTACAGTAAAAAAAAACTGGTAACAGTTTAATTTAGATTAATAAATGTTTCAGTAAATTAGATTAAAATTAGAATGATCCATATCCTAATTCAGAAATATGCTTTCTCCAAATATGAATTTATTCAGGTTAATCAAAATGCTTTTTGTTGTGTTTAAGCTGTAATGTGGCCAGTTGTCTTGAGTATTGCAGTTAATGTAAATATGATTACAATATTAATTATGTAATATCTTGTATTGTTAATATTTAAATTAATCAAATAAAAACATTTTTCAAAATATCTTTTGTATTCTGCAGACAACAGAAATGCATACAGATTTGGAATTAAATGAAGGTGTGTAGATGATGACAATTTTCATTTGAACTTTCCCTTTAAATATGGCAGTAACATGCTAAAACTAAATTCTTTAAGATAAACATTTGCTATGAAAGTTCAGAATCATAATGCAATGTAGTTTAAATTTCAAAGAAAATGTTAGTAAATTTGTGGGGTGTTTATATGAATACAGTAGCATTGCATATATCTGGAGTGTGTGTGGGCTTTGAGCCAGAGTAGTGTGCGGCTGCCGTGTTCTCTCCTGGTGATTAATTGTGGCATGTGTGTCCTCAAGGCAGAGCTGCACCATGGGGCTCACCTGAGTGAACTGTGTGGGCTGGACACTGCTGAGGCAGGGGATGGTGAAGGCCTCAGGACGAAACTCTGTGTCAGGGTTCATTAGGGGAGCTGGTAGAGGGCAAAAAAGAAGAAAAGAAATGGAGGCACAATTTTCAGATAAGGGCCATACCACGATATGGTTTAGTAGTTTTGCATAGCCAGATTTCTGACTAAGCCGTGAAGCTTATTCTGGCCAAGAACCACCCACTTAGACAGGAAGAGACTCTCAGACTGACATATCTGACCACAATTTTTATGTGCTGTTTGAGGGCAGTAAAACCCGAAATGGTATTTTATTTTATCCCATCTTATAGATTATTATTATATTGTGTTGTATTATTGTATTTCCAGTTCATTCATATTTGTTCATATATAGTGTGTGTGTGTGTATAAATTATCATTAAAAATAATGAACAAACATAAATCAACAGTGAACAATATTAACTAGATTGAGTATACTTCATTAAGTTGGCTTGAAAAAGCCTAGCTAGAAAGTTTGAAAAAGTTTTAAAAGCTTGTAGTCTGAAAGTTTTCAGTTTGAAGTAGTTTGAAAGTTAAAATAGTTTTAAAGATTAAAGTTTGAAGGTTCAAGGCAATACAGTTGTTTTCAAGGCAGAATCAGTCAATGCATGATTCTAGCATGATTAGCATGTTACTAGCATGGTGTTAGCATTTTTTAGCATGATTAACAAATTACTAGCATTTTTCTAACATGCTTAGCCTGTTACTAGCATGTTGGTAGCATGATTAGCATGTTACTTGCATGGTGTTAGCATTTTTAACATTATTAGCAAGTTACTAGCATGATTAGCATGTTACTAGCATGTTGTTATTAGCATAATTAGCAAGTTACTAACATTTTGCTAGCATGATTAGCATATTACTTGCATGGTGTTAGCATGATTAACAAGTTACTAGCATGTTTCCAAAATGATTAGCATGTTACTAGCATGTTGTTAGCATGATTAGCTTGTTACTAGCATAGTGTTAGCATGATTAGCAAGTTACTAACATGTTGTTAACATAATTAGGAAGTTACTAACATGTTGCTAGCATGATTAGCATATTACTAGCATGCTGTTAGCATGATTATCAAGTTACTAGCATGGAGTTAACATGATTAGCGAGTTGCTAGCATGATTCTAGCATTATTAGCACGTTACTAGCATGGTGTTAGCCTTTTTTAGCATGATTAGCAAGTTACTAGCATGTTGTTAGCATGTTTCTATGCTAATCCAGCTAAAACCAGTTGATTCAGTAAAAAGTAAAAAAAAAAAAAAAGCTTAAGACCAGCCTGGCCTGCTAAAAAAAAAAAGTGGCCAAAACCACTTTAAAACCAGCTTGGGAGACCAGCCAAAGCAGTCAATCAGCTTAGGCTGGTTTTAGCAGTTTTTTTCAGTAGGGAGTTGTTAAGCTTTGCCAGGGCCGGACTGGGACGCAATTTCAAGCCGGGAAATCTCACACTCATCCAGGCCACACAGAAAAAAAAGAACTTTCCCTTAAAAGAACATCTTTGTACCTTTTTTTAAAGGGGTCATCAGTGCGTTGTGATTGGCCGAATACCTCAAGCGTGTGACAGAAATGTTACTCCCTTTACCGAATTGTGATGCCGTGTCCCGGCCGGAGCAACGAGACAAAAAAAAATTAAAACCCATTATTTGTTGCATCCAGTGGGGACATAATTACGGATTATAATGACTTATACTGTCGCTTTCACAACGAAACACAGCGCCTTCACGACATGGCGGCGGCGGCGGCAACAATAAAGTTACGCCTTCTTTCTTTGCGTTAACATTTGGGCGGCGTTATGCAAATTTTCCCAGATCGTGACGTAGGTATGTGGGGGCGTGTTAGAACGAGCCGTTTTAGGTAGGCGTGGTTGACTCTTAACTTTTATAAAGAATATCTCTTTGGATTTGAGACTTTAGTCTTTGCAACTTTACAGATCTTCTTTATGCACCAAGAGCTTGTAACACTCCAAAGAGAAAGGAAAAATTGAAATCTCTTCATCTGATGCCTTTAACCTTATAGTAATTCGTACACATAAGGTATAATAATATTTAGGCTATTAGGGGTAAAAAAAAAAGGCAAAAATACATCCTTTTTAAGGGTACTGCTCCAGTGACAAGCTGTTGTACTCCAAAAGGTAAAATTTTGGCCCCTTTTTTCTGTATATAAGCCATACATATACAATACATATATACTATATACACCCACTACAAATTCTGAAACCACAGATAACCCTATTATTTAAATGGCCATCACATAAAAAGGTCTAAATCCTTGGTCTGGGGCCCTGGAAAATAATTAAAGGTTGTCTCTTGAACTGCACCTTTACTTCCCTTTTCCTTTTCTTCATTTTCCCCAATATCTCTGTCTCCATTTTTTTCTTGTACCTGTCACTTCTTCACCTGCTGGTCTACTGTTAGGATTAGAACTGTGTCCACCTTGTTGCAAAACGACCACTTTTTCAAGCCAACTTAATTATTGCTCTTCATTATTAATTCATGATACTTACTGCATTAATGTTCATGAATTACCTTATTGCTTGTAATGTGTTATCATATATCTAAATATATAAAATAAAGTGATGTGGGGGAGGGACTATTTCAAACTCCGAAGTCAGTCTACGATAATGTGTACGGATAACAAAAAAGAAAAAAAATAGGAATCGCATATGTGCCTCAACACAGAAATTGCATATAGTGCCTCATATGTTTGATTCCAAGATGTCTGGCAAACTTGGCCAATCCAGTGATTATATTTTTCTTCCAAGGTGCTCATTTTTTCAAACCGATACCTTCTAAAGATGACTTCGTTTCCATACGGACTGATTAAGAAACATGTGTGCCCTCGGGAAGTTGCATAAAGCCAGCCAATCAGATTAGAGCTTGGAATTGAACAGACACTGGGTGGTTCCTCTGGCTGATGCTGAGTCTAATGTGTTGGTATCTTTAAATTCATATAGGAAATTAGATGATATTTGATGCATATATTTAAAGGATTTAATGCATTTTTACCCAAATTGTTAATTTATTTTATACTTCATACATTTGCCCTCTGAAATGTTTCAGACATGACGATTGTGTACTTCTATCCATGAGCATTATAATGTCTGCACATTATGGATAATGTCAGCGCAGAGTCTCTGATTACTTCTCAACAGCAAGCTGGTTTTGGATTGGCTGTGCTAAACACATGGTGCATTTGGATAGTTGTGAGTTTAGGTGCTCCAGCACTA